GAGTATTATTGAGCAGGGCCACGAGTTTATCAGTCTCATCTTCTCTTTCTCTTCCCCGCAGACCGGCAGATGTTCCTGGCGACGTGGAAGGACATTCCCAATGAGAACGAGGCCCAGTTTCAAATCAGAGACTGCCCCCTCAATACAGGTAGGATTCCTGAGCACTTCCCCAACCCTGTCCATATTACCTCTTGCCTGTACCCTAGGCCCTCCCCCATTGCTGACTGGGGGCCTTTTGACACCCAGAGGCCGTGAGCAGCAGGCTGCAAAGCAGCAACATCTTCACAGTCGCCAAGAGGAACGTAGAGGGTCAGGACATGCTCTACCAGTCCCTAAAGCTGACCAACGGCATCTGGGTGCTGGCGGAGCTACGCATCCAGCCAGGGAACCCCAGCTTCACGGTGAGGGCCCCTGCTCCTGCCCTACCAGCCCCGGGGCTTCTACTTCCCTGTCGCGGGCAGCCTCTCCTACCCCACCTCCCTCCCAGGCCAGGGGTCAGCTCTGATAGGGGACACTCTAGCCTAGGTAGGCTGGAGTCCCTTTGAGCCTAGTGCAAGTAAGCATCAGAATTCAGTCACTGGAAAGGAACTTAGAAACTTTCAACTCAATGCCATCAAGTCATCCAGGTAAGACACCAAACTGGGTCTCACAATGAGTTGGACTAGAAACTTCTGTAAAATTGGGCCCTGTGAGGTGGCACAGTTGCCCGAGGCCTGCCTAACTGCGGTGCGGCACTGCTGGGCCCAGGCCCTGGCCCTCTTTTTCCTGCCTGCCTGAGTGCCCCACCTGGGAGGACAGTGATTCTGAGCAGCTCGTCCTTCCCAGCTTTTGATCAGACCCCAGTCAGGACACGGCTTCCACATAGTGCGTGGTTGTCCTGGAGGCTAAGCTGCTATTCCAGGCCCCAAAGAGCACCAGGCTTTGCTTCTCCCCCTGCACCTGAGTCTCTAGTAGGCATGGTCCTCTAGATGCTGCTCCCTGGGCCCTGCTGGCGGCGTTGGCTCTGTGGTTGGGCTGGGGCTGCTGGGGCGGCTTCGGTGGTAGTAATTTCCGTCTCCCTATGTTTGGTTGCTGCATGTCCACCTTCCCTGCTGGTGCCCGTGGTACAGGACTTGGAGGTTAGCAGATTGCTTTTCTCTTCCTCTTTCCCCTCCTTCCTCCCCAGCCACACCTCGCCCACCCTGTCTCCTGGCTTGGCTCCAGTGCATCCCCGGCTCTCCTGGCTTCACATCAACCTATTGGTCCCCAAATCCCGGCAGACATGCTTGCAGGTTGCAGGCAGGAGGGCATATTGCCCTCTGCTGACACCCCAGTGCTTCCCAACCAGGTGGCTCCAATTGAGGAGCTGATACCCCCACTTCCCAACACAAGGTGTACACAGAGCCCTTCAGGAGACCGGGGCCCCTTGGAGCCACTGCTGCTGATTTCCAGAATGCCTCCTGCTCCTCCGCCTTCCTAATTGCACCCTTCAGAAGCAGAGATTTTGGCAGAAGTGGTGGTGGCACTTGTCTCTCCTCTGCCTGTGCTCTCCAGGCTCATACTGCAGTCAGAGCTGAGACAAAGTTTCTAATGTACCTGCTTCCTGTGCAGGAAATCAGGAAGAACACCCAGCACCCCACTGTCTCCCAGAGCAGAGACCTGCTTCCTCCCAGCCCCCGTGCCTCCTCAAGGACCTCGGTTACCCATGGGCGGTAGGGATCTAGGCAGCTCAGCAAGGTGGGGGCCAGGCACTCCCTGACAGCCTCCGACTGCTGATTCACAATGCTTGCCACAGGGCCCGTGGTGGCTGGGCTGACAGCAGGTGTGTGGGCTGCAAATATATTTGGTCCACACCCAGCTGGCTGTGGCAGCCGCCCCCTCTCCTTCACCACACATCTGCCCCAGCCGCACTGCTGCCACAAGGCCACGTGTGCACACCACACTCTTCCATCTGGTTCCCATCCTCTCTGCCTTCCCCACGTGTTCCTTCCCAGCCTGGTAAATGACAGCCCAAGAGAGGAACCCCAGGAATGAGCACAACCCCTCTCTCCATTTGCAGCTGTCCCTGAAGTGTCGAGCACCAGAGGTGTCCCAGCACGTGTACCAGGCCTACGAGACCATCCTCAAGAACTAAGGCCCTGTCCGGTGCCTACCCCAGCCTTCTCCCAGCCCAGTGAGGAGTCCCCTGGGGTTGACAGCACCCCCATCTCCTGGGAGGGGCCAGGGAAGACTCCCAGCCACCTTGGGGCTCCCTGATCCTGACTGCAGGGCCTGCCCGGGTCCAAGAGCAGTGCAGCAGTCCTCCTGGAATGAAATTTCAGTGTACTCCCGAGCTCTGGGGCTCCCCTCTTCCATTGCTTCTGACACTTAGGGTCAGTTGAGAGGGGACCAAAGAGACAGCTAGAGCAGCTGCAGAAGCTGGACAGAGAGACCCAGTGTTCTGTTCCTTTTGCTGGGGGCAAGTGTGAGGTTCCCTCCTCAGGCTGCCAGCCTGGAAAGTGCCCTACCCCTGTCTCTCTTGGGTTGGTGTTAGCAGCCGTTTCCACTTCCCATTCTCTTGGGATGGCCCCTGCCAGGCTGTCCTGGCATGTGTGGAAGGTCCCCTTGGTATCCGGAGAACAGTTATTTCAGGGTCTGGGACTCCCAGGGCCTGTACCCCCACACCCTCCCTCCCTGCATCTGCCCCATGCTTGGGCCCAGTAGCTGTGCGAGTAGCGCCACAGCCTCCTGAGAGCTGACCTGCATGGTGAAGGCCAGGCAGAAGCTCCCAAAGCCCCTGCCTGGGGTCCTACTCCCCTGGCAGTTGCTCCCCAATTCTGCCCCTGAGGCCGGTCACTGCCTGTGATACATTCCTCTCTGTCCCCTGGGCTCCCAGAGCAAAGACAGGGCTGAGGGTTGGGGAACTAGTGCAAGTGGGTGCCTCCTGTCCAGGGTTTCTTTGGAGTTTCTCCTTAGTGTCTGCTGCCCTCCTCCCGGCTCCGCAAGTGTCAGTTATGTCTGACAGAGCATTAGGTTTTCCTGTTCCTGCTGTTTAATAATAAAGATTCTGCTTTTGGCAATCATGGACACTTTTTTCCCCTCTCCACCAAATTTGAAAACTGCTTCCAAGTGGTTGAGGATGGGCTGCCGAGCCCTGCAGTAACTATATCTAATATATATAAAGAGACTATATATTGTATGTTTACTCTTATTTTCAAAATGAGAAAGTGAATAAAAATGATGAGATCAAGCATGTCCCTGGCCAGTGTGTCAGGTCCTGCCTGAGACTCTTCTGGGCGGGGTCCAGAGTATCCTACAGTCCAGCGTCAAGGGCTTGAGCTGTGTGCCCAGCCCCTCCTCTGGCACTCTGAGGACCTTTCCCTCCACCTTTCCCTCCACCCTGCCCTTAAATACTGACTTTTGGGGCCTACTGGTCTCCCTGGCACCTCTCCTAGAGTAGGCATGTTTGATGCCTACTCTACCCAAGCAGATGCCATCACCTTTTGCTGTTGGCCTAGAGGGCTGACATCTGTTTTAGTTTTCCTCATCTCTCTGCCTTTAGGGAGGCTCCTGGGAGTGACTGTAGAAGAGAGAGTATGGGCAGGCAAAACAGGTAGATTGGCACCAGGCTTGTCTGGGCAGGCCGTTCCCCACCCTGCATCTTCGACTGGCTGAGTGGGGTACTAAGCTACAGCCGCCCCAGCTGTCACCAAGGACTCTCCATGTATCCCCAGTCCTGGCATTTTGTTGGCTCCCAGGAGAGGGCAGCCAGACCCTGGACAGGGCTCTGACAGGAGAGCTGCCAATGGGTTCTCAATGCCTTGCCGGCCGGTGGGCCATCAGCCTGCTTTGGAGGGAGAGGCAGCCTGGTGCCCTTGCCTATTTTAGCCACAGCCACTCCCTGCAGTCTGCCCACCTCTGACACATGTCTACCTTCCCAGTTGCCTGGGGACCAGGCATCATCAGGGGCACCTAGCCCTCTACTGCCCCACCTCTGACCCCTGGGTATTGCCATGCTGTCTTAGGGACCGCAGAATCTACAAACAACTAAGGCTGTTGATTGCACAACCCTAGTTGCCACATCACCTGAAGTCTCCAGGCTCAGAAGGCCCTGCACAAACACAGCTGGAGGCCCCTCTGGCTGTGGACTAGAGGAGCAGGGTTTTGAGCACTTGAGGAGAAAGACTCTCACCCTGGCCTGCCATGTCACCTGCTGCCCCTGACCTGCTGGGGGCCCAGCTTCCACCCAAACACCCTGTGAGTAGACTGCTGGCTCAGCCATCCAGAGACCTCAGAGCTTTCTGTGCCCACCCCTCCACCGCTAATGGCAGAAGAGTTGAAGTGTAGGGTGGTTATCCCCAGTGGGGTCATGATGGGCAACTTGAGGCTCAGGGCCAAGCACCTGGAATGAGGAGGAAGCTGATAAGAAGGGCTGGCCTGGTCATGGAACATCTTGGTTTCACCCTCCTAATTCAAGCTGTGCTCAGTCCTCAGGCGATCGTGGGCAAGACCTTATCATGATTTTGCCTCTCCTCCCACAGCGCCCAGCATGATGGGACCCAGAAGTCTTAATGTACTCAGGGAGAAATGGGCAGAGCATTCTCACACTCAGTTCCTCAAGCCTGGGTTTTACCACGTTGCTGTACCAGGAAATCATGCATCCGGGGCCACCATTGGGGGCCCAGACCTTTAGAAGAAGTGCATTAGGGGATATTCAATCTGTGCCCTTCGGCTTGTCCCTCCCTCACCTCAATGAGAAGCCTTCACGTGCCTCCTCCCCACCTCACGTGATACTCCCTGGTCCTAGTGTGCTCAGGCCTCCCCACTCTCAGGGCCTGATGCCTCTCAGGGACCTTGGCATCCTGCAGAAGATTCTCTAAGGTCCTAGACCTTCCCAGCCAGTTAGGGGAATTCAATGATAGCAGCCAGTTATTTCTGGAAAGTCCAACAAAAACCCAGGGGCCCAGTGGGTGCCCCTGTGTGCCAGCCACTGTGCTAAGGCCTGCAGCGTGACCTCATTTTACATTTTTTAATCTTCGACTAGTGGTTTGCTGTTTTTGTTCTTTTATGGAGAGAGTGATTCTAGACCATGGTAAGATCAGCCACACAAAGGATTGTGGTCTCTCTCCCACCCTTTCCCAGTTCTTAGTTTTCCTTCCTTAGAAGCAAACATTATTGCTGAATTTTGGGTTTTTTCCAGAAATATTCTATGCATGTATGCAAGCAAATCCATGGAGATATTTCCTTAACAAATGGTAGCACACTCTACACTACCAGCACTTTCCTTTTCTTACCTATGTACAAACACCCACCTCAGTATTCCTTGTGCAGATGGGCTGCCATTAGCCAGTACCAGCTGATGGACATACAGGCTGTTTCCATCTGCTGCCAGTCCAAGCAACAGTGCAGTGAATATCTTCCTACATAAACTCTTGCTCATGGGCACAAATGTAGCTGTAGGATCTAAACCCAGAATTGCTAGGCTAGAGAGTGTAACATTTTACATTTTATATTTTAGTTCTTTTGAAAAGATAATGCATTAACATGGTTCAAAACCCAAAGGCAAAAAAAGGATAGAAGTGAAAAATTCTTTATATTTCTCTCCCCAAAGGAACCAATGTTACCTTCCAAAGAGACTCAGTGATGTCTAATATGGTTTTTACCCTTTCAATACACAAATGGTAGCATGAAATACACCCTGTTCTGCACCTTATATCTTGGAGACTTTTCCAACGTCAGTCCATCATGGAGAGAGTCCTAATGGCTTTTTATAACAGCTGTGTGATGTTCCAGCGAATGGCAGTACCATGAACCGGTACCCCCACGATGTCCATTGAGTTGTCTACGGTGCTGTTAGTACAAGTAATACTGCAAAGAATATTCACTTTTATACATCGATAACTTCCTGAGATGGAAATTGCTAGGTCAAAGGTAGGTTTGTTCATAATTTTGATAGCTGTTGCTAAAAATTCTTGTTTACACTCCCACTAGCTAGGAATGAGATGCCTGTTGCCCTGCACTCTCACAAACTCAGCATATATGATGTGCGCCCAAATGATGGGTGAAAAATAGTGTCCTACTGTGTTTTAAGCTTGCCTCCATTCATGTATTTTTGAGCCATTTAAATGTCCTTTTCTTTGAGCTGTCTTCATATTTTTGCCCATTTTTTTAAATGGTTATTGGTCCTTTTCATCCTCATTTGTCATTATTTCTCCCCATTTTGTTACTGCTTTTTACTTTGCTGAAGTTTTTTTTAATGTAGTCTTCTTTTAATCTCTTCTTCTTTCTAGTACTTGTCTGATCTTAGTTTTTGCATTTTGATCCTGTTCCATCTGGGCTTTATATTAGGGATGAGGTAGGGATCCAAATTCCTCTTTTCCCAGATGGTTACCCAGTTGTCTCCACACAATTTACTGAATAATTCATGTTTTCCCACAGATTTTAAATGTCATTTTATCATATACTAAATTTCCACATATATATATGAGTACTTTTGTGGATTCTGCTCTGTACCAGAGAATTTGTCTATTCATTGGCCACTGTGTTTTTAAAAAAAGTATTGTATCTATATTTTCATTATTTATAGTGTCCTTTTATTTGCCTTCTTTGTTCCATTTGAACTTTAGAATTTGTCTTTTAAAAAGAACTGATGGTATTATTTTTATTTGGATCACATCAAATGTTTATATTAACTGATGGAGAATTGACATTCTTATAATGATGTCATAATATTAATATTTACATATAAATACAAGAATAGATGCCTTTGCATTGGTTCATGCTTTCTTTGATGTCTCATTGTAATGTTTTAAGTTGTCTTTATTAAAAGTTCTTGCATGCATATTTACTTTTTTAAAAACTAGCTTTATTAAAGTATAGTTGGCAGACAGTATTATATTAGTTTCAGGTATGCATCATGATGATTCAATATTTATATACCTTACAATGTGATCACTACACTATGTCTACTAACCATCTGTCACTGTGCAAAGTTATCACAATATTATTGACTATATTGATTTATTCTTGCATAGATTCATGAGTGTTTCCTATCTTTTGCTTCTTTTTATAAATGGGCTCTCTTTATTCTTTTCCACATATATTTATGAACTAAATATATATTTATAAATATATAGAAATGATATATAATAAAATAAATATCAAATTATATAATATATAATTTTCAACAAAAATACATAATTTATTCAGATTTTACTTAGTTTTGCCACTCATGTGCCGTTCTGTTCCCAGATCCCACATTCCATGTGGTTGTCATGTCTTCTGAGTTTCCTTTGGTCTGTGACACTTTCTCAGACTTTCATTGTTTTTCATGACCTTAATTTCAAGGAGTAGTGGCCAGGTATTTTCCAGACTATCCCTCCGTTTGGTTTTGTCTGATGTTTTTTTCATGGTGAGACTTGGGTTATGGGTTTTTGGAAGAAGACTTAGTGAGGTGCCTTTCTTGTTACGTCATCTCAGGGCTACACGCCATCAACATGACATCGTTGTCACATTAGTCTGGATCACTTGGCCAAGGTAATGTTTGCAGCTTTCTCTACTGCGAAGTTTCTTTCTCCCCCTTTCTGTACTCTGTTCTTTGGAAGCAAGTCGTAGGTGCAGCCTACACTCTGAAAAGTGAGCGGGGGCAGGGAGTAACAGCAAAAATTATTTGGAATTCTTTTGTAAGGAAGATTTGTTTCTTCCCCTACACTTATATATTAAATCATTTATGTTAGTTTGGAGTCATAGAAATCTATTTTATAATGTGGATTTAATCCAAAACCACATTATTTTGTTGCTTAAATTGTTCCAGCCTTGGCCATTGGGAACTCTTTCAGGTAGGCTCTTTTGTTTCTTTTTGTATATTCCTTACTTTCCGGCATTACGAGATGTTCCAGACTCATCTTGTATTTGTGCTGCCCCAGCTCTAGAATCAAACATTTCTCCAAGAATCCTAGTTCCTTTTATTGGAGGTGGTATTAGAAACCAAGATGTGGGTGCTGGGTGTGTTTGTTCCTCCTGGGGTGGCACTTCTAGGCCCTCTCAGCGAACAGAACAAGGAAATGCCTGTGTGCATTCTTACCCAAGTATACACGTGTGCTCCTCCATTATGTTTTGTAATTCGTAATTATTTGCATATAAAAATAAAATTGTTTTATATGTTCAAGTTTTGTCCCCTCTAGCCTTACTGAATTGTCTTGTTTTTCTCTTTGTATCGCCTCATTTCATCCTACAACTTTATGCAGTCAAGACCATTATTATCCCATTTAAAGAGAAGGAAACTGAGGCTCAGAGAGTTTGAGTAACTTGAACAGATGACACACCCTGCGAGAAGGTTTCAAACTCAAGAAGTCTCACTTCAGCAGCCTAGAAGCCCTGTCCCTGCTGCTTTCTTGTGTCCTGATAGCTGTAAGACCCACCCTGGCCTTCAGGAGGCTGAATGGGCAGTGGCATTATGATGGTGACCAAGGACCTATTATGTGCCAGGCGTCTGCACGGTAAGGGGTACCTGCCCCCCATTCAGGAACCAGGGAGGTGAGTTACTGCTGGGACAAGTAGCATGGAGCTGTGGTTAATGGTCAGGACAGACCATAATCGTCAATGCAATGGCCCAGATGGCTGGGCCAGAGGAGTCCAGAGCAAATGCCCCTGGGAGCTGGACACAGTCCAGGATACTTGACCCCAGAGAGTATCCAGAATCAGGCCAGCTGGGAAGAAGCTGTGTGGCAAAGGTTGGGTGGTGGGGGGCACCCACCTGGCTTTGGGAGGCTGTGGGTAATGAACTTGGGGATGCAGAGTTCCTTACCTGGTGCCTTCCCCTAGCCAGGCCCTCTTAACTGTCTCCCAGCCTACCCTACCTTCTGTGGCTAATTCTCCAGGGCTCAGCTTAGTTGTGTCTTCAGGCCTTTCCTGAGCCCCTATCCTTGACCAAGCTGGTACATCACTGGGGTTCCCTCAACCCTCTAAGCTTGCACAAGCCTAATGCTCCTGTTTCCATCTGCTGTGCCTAGCTGTATGTGTGTGTCTCTCACAAGCCGCAGAGGGCAGGCCATGTGCCCAGTGCCAGGTCTTATGTGCTGAAGGAGCACACGTGTGGATGCTCGGTGGGTGTTCTCTGGAGTACTGCATGGGAGGATATGAGGGCCATAGGAGTGGTGGTACAGCAGATAGCAGCCAGGCTGCCTCTCCTTGGAGAAGAAGTGAGGGGATTCATGAGAGAAACTCTGAAATTTACATTACATGTAGACAAGCAGCCCAAGGTCTCTCTGGCTTGCTAGTCTTTAGGAAGCTGGCACTGGCTGCCCACTTATGTCACAGCTCGGCTCAGTCCCCACAGTGACAGAGCTTCCACCTCAAAGTCCCTCCCCACAGGGCCACAGGCTCCAGCTGACCTCCTCCTGAAGCCTCTCTGGTCCCTGGACCCAGATGAAATTGGCTTCTCAAAAAGTCAGGCTTGGTGGCCCAAGGTCCTGGGTGCCAATGAGTTTTTTGTTTGTTTGTTTTTTGGTTTTGGGGTTTGGGTTTTTTTTTAATGCCTACAGCACCTGGTATTCCTAGGTGGTCTCCCATCCAAGTGCTAATCAGGCCCGACCCTGCTTAGCTTCCGAGATCAGATGAGATCGGGCACATTCAGAATGGCATGACCATAGACTTCCAATGCTTATGCTGCCACTTTCCTGCTAGAAAATTTGGGGCAAATCATTGCATCCCTCTGAGGCTCAATGAGCACACAGCTATGGGTCAGGGCTTTACACATCACAGGTCTTTGATAAATGAAAACTGCTAGTGATGCTAATGTGTTTCCTAGGGAACGTGTCACCCCTGCAGAGTCTATAGGACTTCATGGGAACTTTAGGACATTACCTGTCCAGGGTGTTCTCCATCATTCCAAAACTACGTACTGAGAAACCACACTGGAACTCAGATATGCACCCCCACCAGCCCTGTTGGCTGTTCCTGAAGAAGCCCTGCCCAACAAGGCACTCAATTCGAAAGTGAAGCAAGAAAGGTTTTCCAGAAGAAGGACACCCAGAGCTGGCTCCCAAGGGTGGGAGGAAGCAAGAGAGGGTGCTTCAGGCAGGGAAGTGGGCCCCGCTGAGGTCCTTTAAGGAAGACCAGTGTGATGTGTGCCCCACACCCTGCTGCTGGGTGCCAAAAGGAAGGGGGCCTTGTTCTCCAAAGGAAATGAGATGGCTCACAAAACCCATAAGCCTGAGAGGGAAAAATCAGGTGAAGGAAAAATTCATGGCAGGAAAGGAAGATGAAGTCAGGAATCTCCACTCACTGGGCTGGAAAACCTGGAACAACTGCCAGAAGCATCCACAAGTCTGGCTCTGAGCTCCCTAGTGGCTGAGGAGAAGAGTGAAAACGGACCCAGTTCCCTGATCCAATATGAGAGGATGAAAACACACCCAATACTCTGGACAAACACAAGCTGCTCCCTGGAGGATGCACCCCCTCCTCACTTCAGGGTTTAGCTCCTCCTCACCCCTTCACTTCCCCCAGGCTGGGATGTGCATGTTTGTGCTCTTACAGTTCCTGGATCCCAGGTGTTCTAGAACCTTCTCTCCTAAGGTAGAGCTTTAAAAAAAAAAAAAAACCATTTCAGCACTCTGGCAAGCAGTAAGGGAAACCCTTGGTCAGCACAGAAACAGAGAAGTCTGGTTTTGCCCAGTACCTAGGCATCTGGTCAGAGCCCTGTCTGCGAGGAGGAGGCAGGCAGAGGAGAGGGGAGCCGAACAAACCGAGACTTTCCAAGCCTGATGGAGAAGGAACTTCTCACCATCCCCAGGAAGGGAAGATCTGGGCTTTGAGGGAGCTACAGGTGGAGACTCAGGCAGAAAACTTGGCCATAGCAGTGAGAGAGGTGGTGTCGACCATTTCTGGATCTTTCAGCCTTGCTGGGACAGGGATTCGGGGCTGAGCTGCTGTGATCGGGTGTGTACTGGGCTTCACACCCTCTTTCCTGCCCTCCCTCCATGACTGCCATTTGACATATCGTTTAGTGCTGGCCATTTGCTCCTGTGGGCAGAGGAAGGTGGGAGGAGGGCTCCTAAGAGGAGACCACAAGGCTGCAGTTCAGGGGCCACCCATTGCCCTCCAACTTGGAAGAGTCCCCTCTCCAGCCTGTTTTCTCCTCGCAAACGGAGATACCAGGTTGAGGCTGTAAATTCAAGGGTCACGTAGGTAATTGCTTAGTAAAGGGCCCTCTGCTTTGCAGGTTCTCAAGAAATGGTGTCTGGTTTTGATAGATACGGAGCAGAGCGCCAGCGCAGTGCGGCTACTCCCCCAAGGTCACACAAATGGGGCCGGATCCGACCCCAGGCGGCCTGAGTCCAGTGGGCCGGGGTTTGTCTGGAGCCAGCTTCGGGGAGCGGAATTTGGAGGAGCGAACGCGGACGTGGGCGGGAAGGGCTTCTATTTTGGAGCGGGTGAGAGGGGAGCGCCGTGCGCGGGGGGTGCTGGGTCCCTCCCTGGGCTCCATGCGCCCCAGTCACCTTCCCGCGACCCTTCCCGGGAGGGGCGTCCCGAGCGAGTAGGGGGAGGTGGGAGGGGCGAAGGGCGGTTACCTCATCGCCGCCTCTGGGAGGCTCTGCTCGCTCGCTCGCGCCGCCGGCTGGGGCAGCCACTCCGGGCGCCAGAGCGAGAGAAGGACGGAGGAACGGAGTCGCCGAGAGGCACTGCTGACCCCCGAGCTCCGCTCCGCTGCGGGACCCTCGCGGCGAGGAGGTCGGACCTTGGTGCTCTGGGCTGCCCACGGCGCCTCCAGTCGCGCTGCGGGGTGGAGGTGGTGTCTGCGCGCGGCGCGCCGGGTCTGTTCTCTCCGAGCTTCGGCATCCCCGGAGCTGCTCGTGCGTCCGCCGTCGGCCTTCTCGGCTGTCTGCCCTCCCACTGCCAGCCCAGTCGTCCGGCCTGGCCTCTCCGGGCCCTGGATGCTCCAGGGGCGATGAGGAGCGCAGCAGAGCTGGGGCGCACGGGGCAGGGCGCGCGGGGCGCACGGCGCGGCGCCGGCCCATGAGGCTTCTCAGCACGGGGCGCGGCAGAGCGCGCGGGCCATGGGGGGCAGCCTACGGGTGGCCGTGCTGGGCGCCCCGGGTGTGGGCAAGACGGCCATCATCCGCCAGTTCCTGTTCGGTGACTATCCCGAGCGCCACCAGCCCACAGACAGACCGCGCCTCTACCGTCCTGCGGTGCTGCTCGATGGCGCCGTCTACGACCTGAGCATCCGCGACGGTGACGGCGCTGGCCCGGGTCAGAGCCCCAGGGTTCTAGAGGTAGCGGCTCCAGGGGCAGAGGGGCGTGTGAGGGTGTGTGTGTGTGGGGGGGGAGATGCTCGGTTCACACGTGCGTGTCTGCATGGACAGCCCCAGGGTGCCCAACTGCTTTTATGGATTGAAGGATGAATGTGTGCCCTGGTGTTTGTGTGTCTCATCCCTTCTCACTGGCTTGGAGGTGCACCAGACCAGGCCTGATGTCGGGTGATTTTTGCAAAGTGGCTTTTTCTCGCTGACATAAGCGCCTCTATATCTGCTTCCACTGGTGGGTCTGGATCAGTGTGTGGCGAAGCATGCTTGTGCTTCCCTAAAGGGTGAGCTTTATGTGTCTGGGGCCTTGAGCAGAGCCACAGTGCAAGAAGTTGAGGCTAGACGTAGGGGTG